AGGAAAGGAGACAGAAAGGGAATAAAGAAGGGGAGGAAAGGAAAGAGAGGAAAGGTGAGGGAACGGGAGGGGAGGAAAGGAGAAGGAAAGGGAAAGAAATGGAAGAGAAGGAAGGAGAGGGGACAAAATCAGGAGAAGGGGAGAGAACTATGAGGTAAGGACAAAGACATGAGGATCATTGGGGCTCACGGGCTGTCGGCCCAGCTCCCAGACCATTGACAGACTGTCTCAAGACTGAGGATGATGGAGCAGGACAGTTAGCATCATCTGGCCTTCATGTGTGCACATGGATATATATACCCCCTCACACACACATGCATAGACATTGTACACACACACACACACACACACATGCAAAAGAAATGAAGCCCATGTCTCAAGGTGCTGCCTAGAGTCCCTATTTGGAGGAAATCAGTGTACTGATAGTGCATGGCCTCCCACAAGGTTGTCACCCACAGAGAACGGGGTCTGAGAAATCCTCCATCTGAGCATCGAGGCACCAACACCTCAGCTGTGACCTTAGGAAGAAGATAAAGAGGAGGGATCAGAATGAGGGGGAAGGGAGAGGACTATGAGCCAGGAGGATCATCTTTCAATTATGCAAACTCTGCTCTGATTTCAAAGATCCTAGCATTTCACACTCCATATTCCTCCACACAGACACCTCTGGAGGAGGAGCCTCTCCACTTGTTCCTCATGCTGGCCCCTCCTTGTCTCCTCAGCATCCCAGCAGGAAGGGAAACCACACCTCAAAGGACCACTGACCAAAGAGCTTCACAGCAGAACCCATGTGTCTGAATCCTCTTGTGTCATTAGCTTTAGGGTTTGCTTGCATTATTTTTAGCAACTGAAAATGGAAAGGGGAATTTAAGGCTGGGACATTGAGCTAGTTTTGCAATCAAACTCCCTATCCAGAGTCTGCTATGGTTCGCCTCTCTTCCACCCTTCAAGGAAAGAGACAGTGCAGACTTTGCAGTTCAGCAGGGCTGTCTCATGCCCTGAACATGAGCACCAGGCACTAGGCTGTGGGTCAGAAAGGGGAGAGTCCAGATGGTCTTTGGCTCAGGAGAAGATGGCTGATATCAGCAGCCTGTCTGCGGCAGGGCAGAAATGGGAAATTGGGGCCACACAATAGATTTCTTCTTGGCTGACCCTCAGCCCTGCTCTGGTAGCTTAATTTTAAATTTAAGATGGAAAGTTGTCTCAGAGAGGAGATACCTCCATCTATCCTTGCCTTTGCTGACATTTGGAAGCTCAACTCTCCCAGGGGGGAGATGTGGGGACCCATGCCCTTTAGAAGAAGAAGTAACAGTGACTAGGAGCTGTCACAGGCGGCCCTCAACCTCTCCACTGGGGCAGAAGGGCACAGTCCAGCCCGGCCATCTTAGCAGATGACTCACACCACGGGTCAGCAGAATGGACCTATCCGGTGGGGTCAGGTGCCAGGCTGCTCTGCATGGCTTTTGAGGCCTCATTGTGAGGAGCTTTCAGGCAAAGAAGGCTACATTGCCATTCTCTTCAAGTGCCAGCTGAGGCACTTCGAATCCCGTGAGCCTCTGCATCCCTCGGGGCAACAATCCATGTCTTCCTGTTAGCTGGCGTTCCAGAGGTTCAAGGATGCTATGTGCCTTTCCTAGGAGTGTCCTGAAAGGTGAAGGAAGGCTGAGAGCTGAGTATGGAGTTCAGTTGGTGTTTGTCCAGTGTGCTAGGTTTGAGCCTCAGTACCATACAAACCTGGTGTGGTGGTGAATAGTAATGGCACTTGGGGGCAGACACAGAAGTTCTAGGTCAGCCTAAGGAACATACTCTGTAAGAAGAGAGATGCAGGCGGTAGGGGAGGGTGAGGAGGAAGAAGAGGAGGAGGAAAGGGGGACAAGGCTCAGTAGTTGAGTGCTTGACTAGTATGTGTGAAACCTTAGGTTCTGTCCCTAATTCCATTAAGAGAGGGAGGGGAGAAGGGAGGAAGAAAAATTATTTTTTTTGTTTTTCTTGTCTTGGTAGCAGAAGCCTGGAATCGGCAATATTTAGAGACACTCACTGTTTAACACAGGCTGTCCTTGAACTCGTCGTAGCAATCCTGCTGCCTCAGCCTCCTAGTACTGAGGTTTACCAGCATGGCCACCTCATCCAGATGCCTGACAAAAACAGCTTAAAGGAAGACATTGTTGCTTTGGCTTGTGGCTTCAGAATGTTTCCATCCACCGTGTCCAGGAAAGGCACGATCCAGCAATTCCATCTAGGGTTGTTGAGCAAGGAGCAGTGGCTTGTCCACACAGAACTGACAAGGAAGCTGAGAATGCAGGCTCAAAGCTGATCTCACCTTCCATGCCCTGCCCCTACGGAGCCGCTTCTGCTCCACAGCCTTCGGGACAACTCCACCAGCACTCAAAACAAGAGCCTGTTTTTTTGGGTGGGGGTGGGGAGACTACTTTTCAGTTTCAAACTACAGCCCTGAATATATGTCCAGTTTTTGTTTCTGTTGCTGTGATAAAACACCTTGACAAAAAGCAACTTAGGGGAAAAGGATAACCTGGAATTGCAGCCTATCGTTATGGGGAAGTCAAGGCAGGAGCGGAAAGCGAAGCGCCTCGTGACATCACTTCTAGTCGAGAAAAGAGAGAAATGAATGCATGCATGCCCATTAGTGCTCAGTTCTCTTTATCCATCCGTACACAGTTTAATGCCCAAACAAGGAAAGATGCCACCCACCGTGGGCTGGGTCAGCCCACCCCAATTAAGGCAATCAAGACAATTTCTCAAAGAAATTGCCTACAGGCTAACCTGACCTACATAGACCCTTGTGGAGACCCTCCTTATAGGTGATTCTAGACTGTATCAGTTGACAATCATAATTATCACCGCGTGAAGCTGGAGAGGTGGCTCAGTGGTTAAGAGCAGTGGTTGCTCTTCCAGAGGAGCTGGGTTCAATTCCCAGCCCCATATGGTGGCTCACAGCTGACTGTAACTCCAGCTCCAGGGGATCTGATGCCTTCTCTGGCCTCCATAGGCCCTGCATGTACATGGTATACATACATGCAGGCAAAACACCCATACACATGAAAGAAATTTAAAATGTTTCCGATATTTTGAAAACTGACTACAACGTACAGCATTTATGTGTGAACCGAAAGCACTACTTCTTGTATACAGTGTGTGGGAGGCTTCCCCACACAGGCACGGAGGTGCTCTTGAGAAAGGTTTTAGCAGCATTATTTACAGACGCCCAGGCTGGACACACTCCAAATGTCTGTCAGCGCTGGATGGATAGAACAGGTGCTGGACGGAATAACCAGCCATGTGTGGCTACTGCAAAGCCCTACGATGAAAGAAGAGAAATGCCCATTTCCCACTGGTCTACACAAGCCAGTCTCAAAAACCACGGCATCAGGTGAAAGAAGCAAGTGTCAAGAGTCACACTCAAACTTGCCCAGGGAGCAGAAGGAGGTACACCTGCACCCCAGAGCTGGCGATGGAAGCAAGAGGGTCGGAAGATCATCATTCCGGTACATGAGGGCTTAAGGGCCAGCCTGGGCCACATCAGACTGTTTTTAAAAAAAAATATCACATACACATACACACGAGGGGCGGGGGGGAGAGGGAGAGAGATGGGGTGGGAACAAACTATTTGTTATTTAACATTAGATTAAAATAAAAAAATCTGAAAGACTGAAAACACAATTCAGTATCTGTTTTCTCTGGAAAATAGGGATACCAATAGATATCATTAGAGAAGGCGTCCTAGTGGCTGTGTGGAATAAGTAGGTTTCCATTTGTCTCTCCTGCCCCCCTTTTGCAGTAGTAAAGACTGAATCTAGGTCTTTGCATATTCTAAGCAAACTCTCTACCACTGATCCACACTCCCAGCTCCTCACTGGGGGATTCTAGGCAGGGGCTCTACCACTGAGCCACACTTCCAGAACTTCACTGGGGGATTCTAGGCAAGTGCTCCACTGAGATACATCCTCAGCCCTCTTTTTACTTTTATTTATAAGGTTCTCAGGCTAGCTCTGAACGCTGTAATCCAGGCAGACCTTGAACCTGCTGTCAGTGATAGAGATCTCTTTGAGGCTTTTCTAGATGGTAGGACATGTCTAGAGTGTGACAAAGTCCCACAGGATGGCAGTGACTTAGCCTAGAGAACATGGAGAAAGACAATGAAACCGCACAGAATAAAAGTGGCCAGAACTTACAGGAAAGGAAGACAGACTCTTAGGAGGTGGCCCACAGTGACATGGATTAACCCATCCCCCAAATATTTTCCCTCCCAAAGGTCCTCTGCAGTGATTCTCAACCTCTCACTAGAATTGAAGTCTTAGACAGGGCTATCTGCTTGCTGTCAAATTCTTGTAACCCAATTCACTATTGTGAGCTGCCATTAAAAAGCCTGTCAGGACTTGTTAGATAGCAGAGGTCACTGAGGGGGAAAAAAA